AATGACAAGAGTGGGATTCGAACCCACGCCATCATACGATGATGAGGAAACTCTAAGAGTTTAGTATTAAGGTGGACCTTAACCTCACGCCTTAGACCAACTCGGCCATCTTGCCTTACGTGGGAAATTAGCCCATTTATGCCAATATGAGCCAACTACGCATCGGGTAGATCGGCAGAGTCAAAGGAACACAATACGAATAATTTGATTTTCATGTAGCTGAACGACCTAGAACTATGTTATGAGCTACATTAAAGAGGTCAGTGCTACGACTGACGACAGGATCCTCTACCCATGTTTAAAGAAGGGTTTGTTCTTACCTGGTTCCTGGCCTAAAGGTTGAGTCTAGATGCCATTCAAGTCGAGATATATTCTACGAGGCTACCTTCGAGGATGACCCACTTCCAGAGGAATATGAACCCAGCAATCGCAGCAAGGAGTGATGCAAGGGAGTATCTGCGATTAGAAAAGGCGAATAGAAGTGTCGAAGGATCAGTAAGGTAAAGTCGAGCATGCGGCCTGATTACTGATCTTTTACCACAGTACTACTGACCGCTACACAGTAACTCCCTCCTTACCTCTGCCGTCAGCCCATCAAATCAACTCATACACTCCATGATCTGCAAAATAAATTGATCAACATCTGATGTTGCGGCAACGATATCCTCGGCAGATCGCAAATAGTCGAAAAATCTCACAAGATGAACCTTAATCCCCGCAAACCCCGCATGCAGAGCTCCAAATTCCGAGGTTTGCCATTTATGCTTGTCTCTGGGTTTCTCCCATGGATAGTTCTCCCCGATGTGAAGGTCATAACAGCGTAAGTGTCCACTAACTATCCGAGGCATTGACAAAGCTCTGAGCTGTGGATTGCCGGCGACTGACTCGTGCGGGGTCCTTATTCTTGATATATGTTCTTGTATGGTAGTTTGTAGTGAGCCACCAGACACTCAATTTAACATCTTCATTCGTAAAGATGGCGCCAGATGTAGAAAGACACGTAGGAAATCAGGCCTTTACCCGCTCGACGGCAGTCATCATTGGAGCTGGTATCTCGGGTCTGTACCATACAACGCTCTTCTACGCTCTTCAAGTGCAGATGTTGACCCGAGACCAGGATTATGCACCGCCATTGACCTCATACAACGAAGCAAATGCCACAACTTCATCATCCTGGAGAAGAGTAGCGGGGTCGGAGGGACGTGGAACGATAACCGCTACCCTGGCTCATGCTGCGACGTCTGGAGTTCCCTGTACAGTTACTCGTTTGAACAGAAGCCCGACTGGACCAGGGAATATCCAGGCCAAGGGGAGATCTTGGTACTGCCATTGTGCAACAAATCAGGTCCAGAGCTGACCGAGACAGGATTATCTGATTGGCGTCGCCCAAAAGCACGGCCTGTACAAGCATATCCGGTTCAACTCGGCTGTGGAGGAAGCACGATGGGACGACGCCGACCTCAAATGGAAGGTCAGGGTCAATGTCTCCGGAGGAAAGGATAGCCAGTACCTCGAGTCATACGAAATCACGACCGACTTTCTTGTCTCCGCTGTCGGACAGCTAAACGTCCCCCACATGCCTGACATCCCTGGCCTGAAAGACTATAAGGGTAAGCTGATGCATTCCGCCCGGTGGGATTGGAGCTACGACTGGTCGGGAAAGAGAATCGCCGTTATTGGAAATGGTAAGCCATGCCACATGGCATATGTCTCAATCAATAGTATATAACAACGATAGGCGCAACGGCCGCCCAGATCATCCCCGAAATCGCCAAAACCGCCTCGCACGTTTCTGTCTACCAGCGCACCCCCAACTGGATCATGCCGCGCCTTGACAGACCCGTGGGTGCTGTGCAAAGAGCTCTGCTCACATATATCCCGCCCATCCGGTGGCGAAAGCGCGCGCTCATGATGGACTTCCGGGAATGGTTCTTCGATGCGGTCGTTGATGGGAATTCGGCGCTCTCGGATGTGATCCGCAAGACGTGTCTTGATGCCATGCGGGCGCAGTTACCCGACAGGCCGGATTTATGGGAGGTGCTGACGCCGAATTATTCTCCGGGATGTAAACGGGTGCTTCTCTCAGACGACTATTATCCTACACTAGGCAAGGAGCATGTAGCTCTAGAAACTCGTCCCATCCAGCGGATTACGGAGACAGCGATCGAGACTGCTGATGGCGAGATGAAGGAGTTTGATCTCATTGTTGCGGCGACGGGGTTCAGAACGGTCGAGTTCATGTATCCCATCCAGATTAACGGGACAAATGGTCGGTCTCTGTCGGATATCTGGAAGGACGGGGCGATGGCGTACTACGGTGTGACGGTGGAGGATTTGCCTAATTTCGCCATGCTATATGGGCCAAACACTAATCTGGGTTAGTAACTCACTTTCAATAGTGGAGATATGCTGACGGCACAGGTCATAACTCGATTATTTTGATGATCGAGGCTCAATCGAGGTACATCAGCGCACTCGTGAGCCAGATACTCCAGGCGCAGAGGGACGGTCAAAGTCTGGCACTGAGACCTAAGCCTGAAGCTGTGGAGAGGTTCAACGAGGATATCCAAGCAGCCCTGAGAAAAACCAGTTTTGCCGACCCCGACTGCAGCAGCTGGTACAAGACCGAAGATGGACGCATCACCAATAACTGGCATAGTACGGTCGTCGATTACCAGAACGAACTCTCCAGCGTCCGGTGGGATGATTATACTGCCGAAGGAACCGGCAAGTCTTTGATTGCAAAGAAGAAAGAAACTAATATTGGACGGGTGAATGAGGGGACGTTGATCAGTAACACCTCACTTCTCTGGGGTACGGTCAGTGCAGCTGTGGCATTGGGAGGATACTATCTCAAGGGGAGTGCTTTGGTCAGAGGAAGCCGAGTGAGATGAGCGGAGTGCATGGTAGCACAGTGGAACCATCGTGGTTGGACTTGTGCAAAATACCACAGTTCTGCCGGGCATTTCTGGTCTTTGCTCGGGATCTGCAGATAAACAGCATACGCCGAGTGTATATCTTATCAGCCAAGGCGCGTCACTAATCATGATTACTGTATCTATGCAGGTCGGATCCATATTGCTGACTGCTTCTCTTACACTCATTGCGATAATCGTATGATCTTGAACCGCATACAGATCCCGAGGAAGATGATACGTAGTCCCATTGTGTTACTCGAGAGCAATATGCAAAGACCGAGGAGTTGTGGTCCGAATGGACTGATGTGATCATGCAGCTTCAAGTACGACGTAGTTGATGTCCAAATAACACATATATAAAGGTCTCGAGACTTGACTCTCTGTCCTTTTCATATCGATCCACAAGACCGAAGAACGAATACCAACTCAGACTCTCATACTCTCATACTCTCACACAATGGCACCAATCTTGAAGAAGTACAAGGCCGCAGCAGTCAACGCCGAGCCTGGCTGGTTCGACCTCGAGGAATCTGTCCGCCGTACCATCCATTGGATTGACGAAGCCGGCAAAGCTGGCTGCAAATTCATCGCCTTCCCTGAACTATGTAAGTGACCTCTTGGTATCCCTCAGCTGTACTGACTCTGCAGGGATCCCCGGATATCCGTATTGGGCCTGGAAAGTCAACTACCAGGAAAGCCTGCCTCTCCTAAAGAAGTATAAGGAGAACAGTCTCCCCTCCGACTCGGAGGAGATGCGCCGCATCCGCAACGCTGCCCGCGCCAACAAGATCTACGTCTCCCTGGGCTACTCGGAGGTCGATCTTGCAAGTCTGTACACGACACAGGTCCTGATCTCTCCCACCGGCGATATCCTCAACCACCGCCGCAAGATCCGGGCCACCCACGTCGAGCGCTTGGTCTTTGGCGACGGCACCGGCGACACGACGGAGTCGGTGACGCAGACGGAGATCGGCCGCGTGGGCCACCTGAATTGCTGGGAGAACATGAACCCGTTTATGAAGGCGTACGCGGCCTCGCTGGGCGAACAGGTGCACGTCGCCGCCTGGCCGCTCTACCCAGGCAAGGAGACGCTCAAGTACCCGGATCCGTTTACGAATGTGGCCGAGGCGAATGCGGACGTAAGACATTCTTTACCCGGTATCCTCCGTTCTGAACTAACAGCTGCCCAGCTGGTCACGCCCGCGTATGCCATCGAAACGGGTACTTTCACCCTGGCCCCATGGCAGACCATCACCGCCGAGGGAATCAAGCTCAACACGCCCCCGGGTAAGGAGTTGGAGGACCCTCATATTTACAACGGTCATGGTCGGATCTTTGGTCCAGACGGACAGAATCTCGTGGCCCATCCGGACAAGGACTTTCAAGGCCTTCTGTTTGTTGACGTAAGCACAGCATTCCGTCATTTACATCTAGGCGCTAACTCTGATAGATTGATCTGGACGAATGCCATCTCCCCAAGGCCCTCGCTGATTTTGTAAGTCGGACACTGCATAATTGAGCGAAGCTAATGCATCCCAGGGAGGTCACTACATGCGTCCCGACCTGATCCGTCTGCTGGTCGACACCAACCGGAAAGACCTGGTCGTTCATGAAGACCGTGTGAATGGAGGAGTTGCGTATACTCGTACAGTTGACCGGGTTGGACTGTCGGCGCCTTTGGAGGCTATAAGCCAGGAGGTTGAGCAGGAGAAGTGAGACATTGTGGCCGGTTGAGAATCTCCACTCTCTTTTGTGTGTTGGCTCCTTGTACTTCAGTATCCGGCAATGGTGATGTAGACTGGCATTGAAGTCTGCATGTTCTACCTATGATAAGCCGAGTTATAGTTTCAGGTTTCGAATGAGTATCAGAAAAATAATTTTATCAATCCTAAATAGAGGATGGTTAGCATTTCACAAATCATACGATTCTAACTTATCAATGTTAATATAAGGGTTCCGCTCGGTGTCTGCTCTCGGGGATTGCTCACGGGATCTGTCCAAATTTTCCCTCGAGCAAACACCACACAGCAATTTCAAACGGCATCTGCTGTCCTTCTGTAAGATCATCGAGAGTTAGTTACCATGACCACACCCGTACTCCGAACATCTCGCCGTCCACCTGTCAAGGTTGCCTGTCTGCCCTGGTATTCCACCTAACCACCGGGGTAGAACCACAGCTGATGAGTGATATAGTCGCGCATCACGGATCCGATGCGACGGCCAAGAAAAATGTGCGAATTGCATCTCCCGGGAGAGAACATGCTGCTATGTTCCCAGCAAGCGAGGGGGAGCGAGAATTCCTCGCAACAAGTGCAAGAGCAAGAGTAGACCATCATCCTCTCCGACCGTACAGACTGTAGATGAGAAGGACGAAAGCCGGCAGGTGTCAACACCTAGTGCAGAGGGCTCATGGAATTCGAACAATGAGGATGGTACACTGGCCGCGTCACACTTAGTTTCTAAAGTCACTAACAGATCAGACCTTCTCGATCACTTTAGGAGCCTGGGGAGACCGGGTGCTGGTCTACGCAGCGTCGAAAGCTCGGTGGCCGAGATGGAACACATCTTTGACAGTATCTTCGGGGTTGAGAATGGGGAGCCTCTTCTATCTGAAAGCGACGAGTCCATTCCGGACCTATTGCAGATATATGACAGCGATGAGGACATGTACGCCACCTGCAAATCCGTCGCGACAGACAGCCTTACTGACGAGTCAGACTCGATGCCTACTACGTCTTCATCCATCTCTACTATCCTATCCTACCTCCTCCAGAACGACTCCCGGCCTACAATCGTCCCCTGAATGAAAATTCGACATTCCGACCGTCCAGTCCGCTGAGCTTGGCTATATCGGCCATCCTCGTTCTCATCCCGCACCCCGGGATCAAGCAACCGTCGACACCGGAGTATACGCGGCTTCGACGAAATGTGGCCCACAGTTTCGCGCAGTCGGCTCTCGAAGCAGTAGAGGCGGATCTGGAGTTACTGGACTCCTCATCTGACCCGTCCAGAGCACTAAGCGACGGAGCCCCGATGATCGCCCGGCAGCCATTTCATCCGAAAGTGCCCTTGCCACTCGAGGCCGTTCTGGCGCTTGTACTTTTGAGCGTTTATGAATATGCTCAACGGGGGAATATCAGGAAGATGTGCAATCGAGCGGGACAGGCCTTGACAGCTGCGATGAGCATGTCGTTGCATGAGATGGTCGAGGACGACGAGTACGCCGAGGCGCGTCGGAGAGCTTGGTGGATTACTGTTTGTGGTTGTTCTTGAAGTGTATGACTCTGGCTAACGATCGTAGTATTTGACTGTCTGTCAAGGCTCGATAGCCAGCGGGATGGTAGGTATCCTGGGTTCCTTCCGCGGATTTTGTTCTGATCTCGATAGCCGGCCGCATTCAACGTGTACGACCCACGCTTTGTGACGCCGTATCCTGAGGTAAKAGCTTCTTCCTGAATCACAAGTAAACATATGTTAACCTTCTAACTGACGGCAGGGATGGAAACTCCTCATTGAGGCGCAGCAAACCATCCTCGAGGCTACCACGTTTGTCCACGATCTCGACCAGACCGTCAAATCTCGGTTCAAGGCGTCCTGGATCTCGAGTCGAATGACGGAACTAGATCATCAAATCACGGCCCTTCTTCTTCTTTGCAGGCGGGCGTCCTTATCCACGACTGTCTCTCCCTTGGACTCCCCGGAAAAGATCGCCTCACGGACCATCAACCAGATTGCGGAGATCAAGCTACACAGGTACTGCCGCTCAGCAAGTTTCACTCTGTTGCTAACCATTTCAGCGCTCGCATTAAAGTCCACCGGTTCTGCGCCTTCTCGGACGTCCCCATCTTCCGCAAGCGCCACTGTGATCTCCAACCCGAATGCTGTGGCGTCGAGCCAGCGGAATCAGCCATCCCCTCGCCCCCGGAAGAAATCCCCCTTCCGTCAATCATGAAAACTGACCTCCCCGATCTCACGTTTCCTTTCTCCTCGCATGCATCATCCAAGATATGTCTCCAGTCTGCCCTGAATATCGTCACCCTGGTCGATAACCTCCCCTACCCGAATCCAGACCATATCATCCCCCTGACCCTACCTCCGTATCTGTCAAATGCCTCTCGTGTAGAAATTCCACGAGTGATGCCCATTTTCGCCTGCTGCGTAATGCAGGCGAGCTATGCGATGCTGATGCTGTATCTCAAGGCGCGGGCAAAACATGCCAATAGTCCTGAGGACTCGTTGTCCGCCAAGGGCCCGTCGCTCACGGGGTTTTTGAATGAGTTGCAGCAGAATCTCCGGCTTGTGTCGAAGATCCTGGCAAATTATGCGATTGCTGCAGAGGCACTGCAGGGGATGAAGGGTGAGTTTCTTTTGTTATCGTTTTCTGCTAATTGTTTGCTAACCAGGTTAGAGGAGGTATCGCATTGGGCTTTCTTGGAGGGTTGATCTGAATCTATAGAGTACTTTATAGTATCCAGGCCACAGGTCCGACTGGGTCCACATAATTCGCTGTCAGGTATGAATTGCTGCGAGAGAAGGGAGAAATCGTGGATTGTAGCCTTTGTTTCCCTGCATTCTCATACTTACCTGCATATACGCACAGACATCATGCTATTGCGCCTTCGTCCCATTTATCTAGTAGCTTCCAAAACCGCAATCAAATGGTTACCATCATGCCGCGCATTTGTAATCGAGATTGTTAACCAACCTTCCAGCAAGATAACTAGAAATAATCGTTTCTATGTCCCTAGGAGTCCGTGTCAATGCAGTGATCAATTTCGGTTCGATGCCCTAATTCTTGCCGTATACCAACCAATTTACTCCACCGTTATGGCTCCCACTGTTGCCTTTGTTACCGGTGGTAACCGAGGATTGGGCTTCGGACTGGTGAAGCGCTTCGTGGCTAGTCCGAACTACGTAAGTTATTATCAGTTAACCGAGATCTGTCCGGAGCTAATCAAGCCACTCGCAGCTTGTCGTGGCTGCGGTTCGTGATCCGGCGCACCCAACCACCCAGGAGCTATATCAGCTACCCGTGGGCGAGGGCAGCGGCATTATCGTAGTGAAGTACGACGCCAGTGTTGAGCAATCTGCCTTTGACGCTGTCGAAGAGGCTACCGACAAGGGCGTTGATCATATCGACTACGTTGTTGCCAATGCCGGTATCGCTAAGGTGTACCCTCTGGTTAAAGATGTCAAACGCGCCGACATCGTCGAGCACTTCCAGGTGAACGTCCTTAGCGTTGTCTCTCTCTACCAAGCCACTCGTCCTTTTCTTGAGAAGTCGATTACCAAACCTGTCTTTGCTATTATGGGATCTGGAGCTGGAGCTCTAGGGTAAGACATGCTCTTTCTTATTTCTCCGCCTCTGGGTTTATTATATTATCCTCCCTATCTGATGTCTTCTACTGTACTAATCTCCTCTCCAGCCGCCAGCCTCCTGTCCCTAGTGCGGCATACGGTGCTTCCAAGTCCATTCTCCCGTGGTATGGCGTTCGAATCAACTCCGAAGATGAGTGGCTCAACACCTTCGTACTGGACCCTGGCTGGGTCCAGACTGAGATGGGGAACGCGGCTGCGAAAGGGTGGGGTCTGGAATCAGCGCCGGACACCATCGACAAGTCTACAAGTGGTATGGTTGATGTTATTACGAAGGGAACCAAGGAGCAGTACGGTGGCAAGGTTGTCCTCTACACCGGCGAGGTTCAAGAATGGTAGATTTATTTGATAATTTTCTTCTTTACCTGTATCTAGCCGGTTTCTCAAGGAAGCTATGTTCAGTCACCCTGATATAGTACACTGCTGGTCTAAATTCATAATAAATGTGTCTATCTGAAGAATGAGTTGCGCTGTAATTGTCACCATCTGATAGTACCAGCTTCACCCTAGATAAGCTCGGTTGTCAGGTCTCATGATGTGGACAGGTAGTAAGTATCAAACACTCATAAAAGCTCGCTAATTAGAGTGACCTCGAGCTGAATTTCGAATTGTATTATTAAGTGATTGTCTAGGCCCTTATTAATTATCAGGTATGACTCTAGATGATCCAATCAACAGCATATTGACAGACGTCTTAGAGGTTATCATCGCTACAAACACTGTACTGCAGATAGACGGTATCAATCCTTCTCATGTCAGTAATAAACTGCAACAGGATGCACAAGGCACGTACCATCGCCCATTTTTATATCCCACATTCTTCAGTCGCCCTCTCTCCACAAACCCGCGTTGTTCATACCACTTTCGCAAACCCTCGCCATTCTCCTTCCCGGTAGTGTCAACCGACATACAGGCGATAATACTACGCACTCGACCCTCGTCCTCTGGAATAACCTGGACATGCGATTCGTACTCCGTGTGTTCCCGCGCACGGTGCCAAACCCCCGCTTCTGACTCGACAGACTCCAGAATGGACGAGAGTAGACGGCTCCCTACGCCTTTCGCTGTATATTCTGGGTCAATGTACAGGGATAGCTCGACAGTCGGCGCGTATGCCATCCGTGTGCCATTGAACGGGGTGAGGTAGCTGTACCCTAGGACTTTGCCCGTTGCGTCGATTGCTACGCGATACGGTAGCCCGCGGGACTGAATGTCTCGGAAAGAGGCGATAAGGGATTCCAGGGGAGGGGGATGCCGAAGGAATGTGGCGACTGACTCGCGCACGTAGAAGCTGTAGATAGCGTGGATTTGAGAGATGTCATCCTGAGTGGCTTCTCTGATTTGGATGGACATTGTCATTGTGCTTTCCTGATGTTAGGATGGAAAGGAAACATGATGCTGCGGATTAGACTTTGGGCGATGATATGAGTCATTGGCTGCAGGCTGTCGGGCTCGCTCGTGTTGTTTCGTTAGCTTAATAATGATTGTTTTTATCAGATACGAACTTATCAAGAGTCTCGGCTCCAGTCCACTTCTTGGCCTCTCTCCGTTTAGCTAGATAGCATTCGGCTGAATATATACTTGTATACTTGTATACATCAATTCTCACCGCGCATGTTATAAGAATCTGCCTATTATATATCCCCTCTGTTTCTCTCCCTATCTTCAACCCATTCCAGATATATAGCTCAAGACCTCTATTTCTCGCTCCCATCCTGAGAACCTTCAGCAGTGGATCTCTCGATCGGTGCCTCGGTGGCGGATGTCGTATAGTCTCCCAAGCCAAGACCAGGTGATTTGTAGTCATAGTCGTACCACCAGCCGATGTCATTTATGCCGGACGCATAGTATTCTTTTCTCATGGGTTTGTTTTTCTTGTTTCTGTTGTTGAGCTGTCTGGTTCCACGGACACCGTAGTTGGTCGATGCTTGGGCGTCGTAGGTGCCGTATGTATTGTCGCTGTCTATGGGTTCGCTCATGTTGAGTTCAGAGTTCAATCCACTTGATTTAATACAGTTTTGATATATTTAGTGATTACTTGAAAAACATATGGCCCTTGAAGGGCATTTTATGTGTGGCAGTGGCAGTGGCAATAGCTATAGAATGATATACTCCTGATGTCACCACAGCTGAATGCATCTCAATTCACAACATAAACTCAGAGTCTATTTAGATTAGAGTTGTATCTGTTATTATAATTGTTTCTAAATATGAAACAGGAGTAGAGCTAGTAACGGATTTTACCTAACATATTAGACGTTGTTTCTACCTGCTGTAGTTATGGGAATGGAATAGCATATAAACAGCACCCAGCAGATATATATAGAGAGCTGCGACTGGGTCTAACGAACGCACCTATACCATTTTCATATATTATTCAATTACAGTTTCACTATAAAGTATTGAATAATGATAGCTATAGTTTAGTACATTACTGTAATCTTCAATGCTCAGTCACAGACATATATACATCAGAAGTTGGCCTTGCTATTGATTGGCCACTCTCAATCCTTGCAACAGCACTTCAAAGCTTGTGAATTATCAATCTACGGCTCAATGTCATCGTTATAACTGGAATGGGCGATTATTTGCCCTATATTCTAGAATAATACAGTGGCCAAGCTGATCCGCCCAAGCCCAAGGAGAGGACAATGTGCTGGGAACGTCCAATGATCGACAGAGGCTCATAGAGTCAGAATATTGAATAATAACAACAATAGATAGCCACAAGATGACGGCTAATCCCTTTCCGCTGCGGATAGTCTAGGACATTTGTTTGTATGCAAGGGGGAGAATGTAGGGGGCTTGCCAGCGCTGCTCGCAATAACTTCGTGATTGACGGACTGTTTTCGGTCATTGCCACGGAAACGGGGAATATGTGTCATATGTTTGAATTGTATCATAAAAAGATGGATCAGCTTGATGAGACTGTGTCGGTTGTCTCTTGTTTCAGTCTTCGATTCATTCATATACGACAAAATGATATGGTATCAATCAGCTTCCCTGCTGGGAGTGGCTGCGATCGCCCATGCAGCCCAGGTGCGCTATTCCCTCGACTTGACATGGGAAACTGGCAGTCCCAATGGTGTCAGCCGGGATATGATCTTTGTCAATGGTCAGTTTCCCGGTCCCTCGATCATCCTTGACGAGGGCGACGAGGCGATTGTAAGTTTACGGCAGCATTGCAGCATATAGAGATCGTCATACTGATTTGGTAGATTGATGTCACCAACCACTTGCCATTCAACACATCCATTCACTTTCACGGCATCGAGTAAGTACTCTACTGCCAGGGGAAGATTTTGCTGATGTGGTACAGACAGAAAAATACCCCATGGGCTGACGGAGTTGCTGGTCTCTCGCAATGGGCCATTCAGCCGAACCAATCCTACACCTACCAGTGGCAAGCAGATACTTATGGGACTTACTGGTGAGCTTGTTCTCCGAAGTACAGGCATTATAAAAGCTAACGGCTCAGGTACCATGCTCATGACAAGGCTGAAATCATGGACGGGCTATACGGGCCGATTCATATCAGGTAAGATCTCAACATAAGGCAAGAAACGACTCGTATTAACGAAGAGATAGACCTTCCTCTAACAGAGATTCCCCATTTTCAATGATCTCCAACGATCCGGCCGATATCCAGGCCATGAAGCAAGCCGAGCGCAACGGCAAACTGGTTATGCTGTCAGACTGGGATCATCTGACTGGCAATGAGTACATGAAGGCAATGGAGGAGACTGGATATGATATCTTGTGCGTCTGACAAGCTCTTCTTTACTGGACATGAACTGACCAGATCAGCTGCTCCGATAGCGTTCTCATCAACGGCCGCGGCTCGGTGTTTTGCCAGGACCCCGAGCAAATGACCCAGATGGTCCCGCCGCCAGAACTGGCCATCGTCAACGCCTCGCTGACCGACAAGGGGTGAGTTAATCCATGCATATCGCAGATCAGAGATGATGCTGACGGAAAAGATGTCTGCCATTCGTGCTTCCCATCCAAGGCGACTGGGAACATCACCCTGAGAAGCTCCCGCCCGGCCTGAATGACGGCTGCCATCCCAGCACCACTCAGGAGACAATCTTCACAGTGGATGCCAGATCCCAATGGGCAAGCTTCCACTTCATCAGTGCAGCCAGTCTCAAGGTTCTGGTCGTTTCGATCGACGAACACCCAATGTATGTGTACGAGGTTGACGGCCGGTACATCGAGCCGCAGCTGGCGCACAGTATTAAGCTATACAACGGCGAGCGGTACTCAGTCATGGTCAAGCTGGACAAGGAACCGGCCAATTACAAGATGCGCGCGGCCAACGACGGCGGCAACCAAATCGTCTCCGGGTTCGCGACGGTCACCTACGAGGGCGGCCAGACCAGCCAGCGGCCATCGCAGCCCTACATCGACTACGGGAGCCGTAACACCAGCGCCGATGTCATCCCGCTGGATACGAACAATCTGCCACCGTACCCGGCCATCAGTCCTGCCTCCGAGCCGGATGACTTTCACATTCTGATGCTAGGCCGCACCAAGACCTCCTGGGAATGGTCACTGGACGGAGCAGCCTTCCTGCCTAACCACCTCGGTGCGCTGTCGCCAGCGATTTTGGACCCTGCCGCTCCCGAGCTGGCGAACGCGCTGAAGATCACCACCCGCAACGATACTTGGGTTGATATTGTCTTCCAGCTGGTTGTCAGCAAAACTACCCCAATCCAGCCTCCTCACCCTATGCACAAGCATTCCAACAAAGCCTTCCTCCTGGGGACGGGCCACGGCAAGTTTAACTGGACATCGATCAAAGAAGCCAAGGAGGCGAGCCCGCAGAGTTTCTTGAAGACTCCTATCTACAGAGATACGTTTACTACCTCGCCGCAGGGAGAGACGTGGACTGCTATCCGGTATCATGTCGAGAATCCGGGTCCGTTCCTGTTGCACTGCCATATGACAACTCATCTGGCCTCGGGAATGGGTCTGATTCTGATGGACGGAGTGGATGTGTGGCCTGAAGTGCATGCAAGCATGATTACTCCTATGTGATTGTCAGGAGCGGATACCCTTATGAATCTTCAGTACATAGGATTCATCGCATAACATTTCATATTTGTTTATCATCTACGCCATTTTTAAACCTGGGAATGTAGTTGAAGCTAGGGTGGGCTCTCGGATAAATATAGAAGTGGGGATATTACTGTCCCTGATCCTGTATTGAGTAGGGCATTCCGCATACATCAAGGAATGATCAACAGGGGAGTTGGACTCCTCCTATCCCTTCTTTCTACCTCTCTACCTCCGTTGGAGGGACTTGGATCAGGGACGTGAGGCGGCAGCGCTTACTCTTCTTCAGCTTGACCTCCTCAACACGGGCCTCATCGGGGGTGATTGTGGCGCACTGGACACCAACAGCATACTTCTTAATGGCCTCAGCAGCCTCGACGGTGACCCTTGTCATCGGTCTGGTTACGGTATTCAATACCCTGGAACGAGATTAGCGCCGAGGACTTCGATTATCGAACATGAAGAGTATATCATACCAATTCGTAGTATTTGAGGTCAATGTCAAGGTAACTGATCCAGAGATTACATTGGAGGGACTCGGATCAAGTTCTCGCATCCAAAGAGCCCCAGCGGTTACTTCATTCGGATGGCCTGGCCCCTTGCATTCCTCGCCTCCCCCCCCTTGCATCACACTACTCCGATGTCAGCGTTAGCTCATAGTTGTTATTGTTTACAATTTCCGCGTTCATTGGCCCCTGAATGACTTTATTTAGCTTCGCTATACCGTCCCAATGGGTAGAGCAGAATATCTTTCCTCCAACAACCGGCCCCCGACATAGGCCAGCGACAAACCATGTTCCATTCAAGGGCACTCCTTTTCTCCTGGCTCGCGGGCTTTACCGCGGCCAAGGATATTCATCTCGATTGGAACATCACTTGGGTGTGGGCAGCACCCGACGGCTTTGGCCGTCCCATGATCGGGATTAATGACGAGTGGCCATGCCCGATTGTCAATGCCGACCTGGGCGATAGACTCATTGTCGATGTTCACAATGGACTGGGGAATCAGTCGACAGGAATCCATTGGCATGGCTTTCATCAATACATGACAGGAACGATGGATGGCTCGAACCAGGTGACGCAGTGTGCCTTGCCTCCGGGGAGCAGCATGCGCTATGAATTCGAGGTACGTCCTCCACTCGCCGTAAAGATTATACTGTTTATACTCAAGGCATAGGTCAATCAAACCGGTACTTATTGGTATCACTCGCACGAAATGGGCCAGTATCCTGATGGGCTCCGCGGCCCATTCATCGTCCGGGATCCCTCGCCTCCATTTGCGTACGACGACGAGTTTACCCTCACGCTGACCGACCATTACCACGAGCAAATGCCTGTTCTTCTGCAGCAGTACGAGGCTGACAGCGTAGGCGCCCAGGCCGGTGTGAATGAACCCTTGCCAGCGGCAGCCCTGATCAACGAGGGAGTCGACTCCACCAAGCTCCGTGTAGAGCCCAATAAGACGTATCTTATCCATTTGGTCTGTGTGGGCAACTGGCCCGGCCACGTTATTGTGTTTGATGGCCACGAGATCAGCGTCGTTGAGGTCGACGGCGTCTGGGTGGACACCTATCCGACTGGAGACAAGAAAATTCGCCTTGCCACGGGCCAACGCATGAGCATCCTTCTCAAAACCAAGGACAACGCCGATGCCAACTATGCCATCTGGGACTCGATGGACGTCAACATGATGTTCTTCTACGAGAATCGATCTATCCCCGACGGATTCAACCCCAATGCGACGGCATGGCTGGTCTACGACGAAGCAAAGGAGCTTCCTCCACCGCCCGACGTCCACGAACTCGACCCGAACAACGACTTTGTCGACGATCTCGTCTTCGTGCCTGCGAATCACGAGCCCCTCCTCGAGAAAGTCGATCGCCAGATCATCTTGAACACCGGCGTGACTCAACGCGACGGCCGCAGCGTGTTCGCCATCAATGGCCAGACATATGTGGATCCGGGGGAACCCACAATGTACACTGCGCTGGCAGCAAGCCCAGAGACCTCTACCGATGAGTCGATATACGGACAGGTGAACCCCTTCGTGGTCCAATATGGCGAGGTCGTGGAGATCGTCATCAATAACCACCACGGCAACCTGCACCCCTGGCACTTGCACGGCCATCAGTTCCAGGTCCTGCAGCGCACGTACCCCGAGGGCGGGTACTTTGATGGCTACTTTGCAAACATCTCTTCGACGCCTGTGAAACGGGATACCATCATGGTACAGAACCATGGACACGCGGTGCTTCGATTCCGCGCAGATAACCCAGATAAGTTTCTGTTACTCCAGTGAAGATGATGCATACTGACCTGTACTACGAGTTTGGCTCATCCACTGCCATATCGAATGGCATGTTACCAAGGGCTTGACGGGCACCATTATCGAGGCCCCGGCGCAGCTGCATGATATCTCAGTACCGTTGGACCATCAGAAAATCTGTCCCAGCTATGGCACACCCGCGGGTGACAACACCCCTCCAAATGATGCGCCTCCTGCGGATGACACAAACAAGCCCATATCTCCTGCTCAGGATACTCCCCAAGCTGGCGGCTCACCAGGCTCAGCTCCTGCTCAGTATACCCCTCAGCCTGGGGGTAACTCGGGGCCATCTGCTCTCCCTCAGTATACTCCCCAACCTAGCGGCGCACCAAGCTCAGCTCCTGCTCAGTATATTCCTCAACCTGAGGGTCCTCCAGGCTCACCTCCTGCTCAGTATACCCCTCAGCCTTGGGGTAACCAAGGTCCACCCCCCCCGGCTCAGTATACTCCTCAGCCGTGGAGTCCACCCAGCAACGCCGCGCCACCAGCCAACAACTACCCCCCTGCCTACGCACAGGGCTATCCCGCTGGCTACGTTCCTGTTGCGCCTGGGCCCATAATCATCGACTCGGAATTCCACTCCGGTGGCAAGTCTAGTCACGTTGAATCATCTGGTGTGAAGACCGGCCATGATGGAGAAGCCCGTCATGGCAAACAGTGAGGACTGCGTGAGCCTTATAGTTCTTTTGTATATAGCTTGACTTGATTATTTTTAATATTCTCTGGTAGATATGCCAATAGAGTGTTCTGGTGCTGTACCTCTCGTCTACAGGGGCCATAAATGGTCAATTACTGTCTATACAACGGAGAGTAGGAATTGTCATTGTTGAAGTATTCTGGATGAGCGCCATGGCAGAGTAATATGTTTCAAGCTCGCTATCTATGAATCAGTATCATAGAGATTATCGAAGCACATCGATACAGTCAACTCTCTATAGCAGTAGAAAGACAAGCGCATTTCAGACGGATGGTCTATCTGTAGACCCCAGATTACAGTTACAAAAGTCACCATTGATTACAGACATTGTATTGCCAATGCTAAACGCACATGCATTAATATTAGGTAGAGTTCTAAAAGTGAAGTAGCCCGAAATTTTAAGTCGTCTTTGATCAGTTCTTTGTCTTCAAAGGCGAAGCCAGAACCTGCTCCAACCACTCGTAGGAAACGGGAAGACTGTTAGGATATCCCATATGCGGGAGACCCTTGTAGAATCTGCAAAAGTCAATATACCTTTTCCTCAGGGAGAATGAGAAGAGAAGAGAATGACATACCGTCCCTCCTTGGGCGAGCCATGCTCAAACAGCACCAGGCAATCCTCAATCGGCACAACGCCATCGTCGACGCCATTCAACAGCAGCAGCCGGCAGCTGGGCTGATCGACAATGCCCGTCTCAACAAGCGAGAACTTCTTCTGCGCACCAGCCACGAACTCCTCGACGGTCTTGTACCCGTGCTTGGTTGCCCATGCCGCGGTTAACCTATCTTGTTAGCCTTTCTCCTCCCTTTTCTTGTAAGAAATGAACGTACTCAAACGGATACTCGTGATCATTGACCTTAGCCAACCACTCCGGATCAAGATAATGGTGGCAGCCCGGACCATGTGCAATAGCCCCAAGCAGTCGGTCGCGGTGCGTATGCGCCGCCCGGATAGCATAGTATCCGCCCGCGCTCAACCCCCAGACCACCATCTTGGCCGTGTTCAGCTCCGACCGCTGGTCGAGGTAGCTCAGCACGCTGTCCCACAGGCGATCGGGCGAGGCCGGATCCGCAGGGTCAGCGGGAGAGTCCGCTGTGCCAGGGATCTCAGCGATAACGACCGCCCAGCCGCGCGCGAGGATCTCATGCGTGCGCTGGCTGTTGTCCGGCCTGTACCCGTCCAGTCCCGTCATGATCAGCACGACCGGGACGGGGTTGGACTGGTCTGCGCCGTCCGGGATGCGGATGTAAATGGGGATGTTAGCGCCGTCGTTGCCGGCGCGGTAGATGTGTGGGACTATCACCTCGTGGATGGGGTCGGTCCAGAGCGAGGTGGCCTTCAGGTACGCCTGTTTCTGGCGCTCGAAGGCAACGCGCTTGATGGAGTTGGGTTTGGTGATGTCCACATAGGGGAAGCGGGAGATGCGGTAGACTACCGCGGCGCGGCAGAGGAGGTTCGAAGCCTCCTCTTTGTTGCCGGCTTGGAGGGCCTTGGCGGCTTTTTCCTCGAGGGCAGATGCCGTGGGGAGGAACGCCTGGGTGTATTCATCCGAGGCGGCGTCGTTGATGTTTTTCTGTCAGGTTAGCATGCTTAGCGGTATACGGAGAAGACAGAAAGTACCGAGATGAGCTGGTTGAAGATGGGCTCAAAGTCCTCGATGGAGCCGTCGTGGAAGGGATAGACGGATTTTTGACACTAACAACTATCAGCTGTATTCTAAGTTTCTAGGGAGAAAACATACGGCAAACTTCCATCTCGACTCCCACAGGACCTTCAACGAGCCCTTGTGGGGGAAGACGGTATCGAACTTTTCTCCAAGGATCCAGCGTGGCATTTTGACTACTTGCAATGGTTAGGCTTTAGACACATATGGATTGATAAGCACCTATCCTACTACTTATACTGTTTGTGGAAAGGTTGACGCGTTTACTAGACAACGCAGATGCATCCAGCCATACAGATTTCCCATTTGGGTAATCCTCGATGCGGCCGGGTCACAGGGCACGGATGCAGTAGCTGTCACCGACTGAACTCGACGTGTCTAATTATAGATCAAATTCCAATGCTGCATAATGTCTCGGTCTGGAATTATGCGCTGAATGCATTGCACAGTGGAATTGAGTGTCTTAGCCAAAAATGGATGCGGTATGAGGTTACATTCGCCGAGTCCATGACATAAGGACTCTGCAATGTTTGACTCATACATGTCGCTCTGAAAAGTCAATTCCGAGCATGCAGCATGTCATCACAATCTCGATATACTCTACAGCATATTGTATTCATTTCTGGAACTCATGTCTGGTTGTAGAAGATTTCGGTCTCTCCGAACGTAACCCAACGCGATGTATCAGTCCATATAGAAAGTCAATTGACGATTTGCCACACGCACATATGCCTCGACAGATCAGTGGACGTTGAAGAGGAAGGATTAGATTCGTGCAGCTTAGCTGCCCAGACTTAGCAAGAGTGATTATACTTTAGGTACAGTGGCAAACGAAAGCAACCCGATATGCGACGAACTCTGCGAGATAATTCCAAATACATTCAAATGCAACCATACAACACAGTCTACAATTAGACATTTGCCCCTCCATTGACAGGGATAATCTGGCCTATTCGTTCAAATCACGAGATGATCAGCATTCCAATCCCCACCCTGACCCTTGCGTCGGGGGCAGAAGGAAGAAACAACTCACCGTTCACCCATTCCGCATCCGGACTCGCCAGGAATGAAACCACCTTGCCAATGTCCTCGGGCACACCGCACCGCTTCAACGGACTCCCGCTCGCCAGCGCCGTTTCGATCTCTTCCAGCGAGGAGCCCTTGTCGCACCCGGGCGCATACCGCCATGCGTTCTCACGCCACATGTCGCTCTTGACCCCCGCCGGCGCAATCGCATTGACCGTGCACCCCTTGCGCCCAAAATCGGCCGCCAAGCACCGCGTAAACCCCTCGATTGCGGCCTTGCTGCCGGCGTACAGCGCGTGGCCCGGCACCCCCAGTCCCGCCGCAATGGAGGACATGAGGATCACCCGGCCGCCCGGCTGGATGTGGTCGTAGGCGTAGCGGGCGACGAACATCTGCGCCCGAGTGTTTAGATCAAAGACCTCGTGGAAGTCCTCGAGCGTCGTCTCCTCCAGGGGCTTGAACTTCTCTACCCCGGAGTTGGACACGACGATGTCCAGCCGGCCGAAGTGGCTGACCACCTGCTTGATGAGCGACTCGATGTTGGGGACGCAGGTCAGGTCTGCCTTGATAGCTATCGCCTTGCTGCCGATTGCCTGGATGGCTTCGACAACCTCTTGAGCCGACTTGGCGCTGTGTCCGTAGTTGATGGCGACGGAGGCACCGCGACGGGCCAGTTCGAGGGCAATGCCGGCCCCGATGCCTCGGCCGCCGCCTGTCACTAGGGCGACCTTGCCGCTGAGAGGAAGATATGCTCCTGTGTTCACCATTTCGAAGATTGGATGGAGTGCGTGTAGAGGGCGTGTTTGTTTAGTGTGTTTGTTTAGGTGTGTACATGGTCATTATAGGTTGTAATCATCTTTATATACAGACTGCTTCTATTGGCAATAAGCGCCCAATTACGATCGATAAGCCAAGAGGTCTTACCGAATTCGCACTTCATTGTTTCGACGAAAGGAATGTGTGCAATGAGATTGTCTAAGACAGGAATGTTACTGCTTGCGAATTTCCGCTCTCAGCTAATATGCTATAGGATAGACAGAACAACATCCGAGACACATGGCTCTGTTTGCGACAGTCGTCTCCTTGCATAGTGCTGACCGTGTAAAGACCTAATATTTATGATTGCTCACCGGCCAGACTGAGACCTAAAATTCGAGTCCTCATTACTCAGGTTGGAAAATACCACTTGTCGACCAAGCAGACATACATACCCTCACATCACAATGGTCGAAAAAAAGCCCAATCTGCCGATCGAATTCCAAGGTATGATGCACCGATGAAAGGTGTTTGACCTTGGCTAACCGGCCAGACTATCTCGCCCTAAAAAAGGTCCTCTTTGAGTGGGCAGACAGCTACGACGCCAAGGTAAGTTCACATCCAGCGATCTGAAGAATGGCATTCACATGGGGTAGGATTGGGATCGACTTCGAAGCATCATCGCCCCAACTCTCACTGTCGACTACACGCAGATCGGTCTGCGGAAATGGAGCGACATGTCTGCTGAAGACTTCATGGCCATGATCACCGACATTGACTTCTTGGGTGACCCCACTATCAAGACCCAGCATCTGCTGGGTGAGTCCTGGTGGGAAAGGATCTCCGACACCGAGGTCATCGGACACCATCAGCTGCGCGCTGCCCACCAGGTCTACACGGACAGCAGCTTGCAAACTGTGAAGCTCAAGGGACATGGCCATGCCACCAATGAGCACTACTACCGCAAAATCGACGGCGTGTGGAAGTTTGCCGGTCTGAAACCTACTGTGCGGTGGAATGAGTATCAGTTCGAGGACGTTTTTCGAGCGACGAAGTGATCAGTTAAAGTATAAATACGATTAGCATTAGTACAATTTTATGTGAGACAAAGATTTGTCATTCGAAACTCCCTCATAACGACGAACCTTAGTTCCAGAATGTACGGGAATATCGCAAAGCATGTCAATCTTGCGGCATTTGGTATATAGCTCAACCAACGTAGTTTGAGCTGGGATGAGGTCTGACCCCGAGAGTCTCTAGTGGCCCCCAATGCAACCCTACATCTGGGACCGCAGTTCCAGAACGATCAGAGCAACCTGAATCCTTGGCACTGGGTTGAGTAAGCATCGAATTGATCTTGGTGATGCCCTGATTTCGGCCGGTTCGCATTGTAATGGACAAACCGTGCCGGACGGAGTGATTATTTCGACGTCTTTGATTGACGTAATTCTTAATCAGAGTGATCTCAGAGTAGCCAACTGGACCTGAACAGACAGGAAGGATGAGCGAGTTAACTGCCAGATGCGGACATTCTTGGGGGCTGGAATGCCCGGATCTCCCTAGCGCTCCGCCGGCCTTCCCTAACGTCCCAGACTTCCGCTTCCACCGGTACCCAATGGTGGCTGTCTCACATTGAATTCCATCATCCTTTCCTCTTTCGGAAGGAAAGCAACATCGATCAGAATTTGCAGCTCCCGCATCCATTGATACGTGGTCGTGGGGAACAGCAACTCGCGGGCCTAGAATTCCATGGAAGGGGGCCAGAGTAAGCTCCTGCGATGCTTTGGGAGGCTCACAACAACCAAATTATGCTTTCGTCCTTTCCCGATTTGCAGTAGAGCCGATTGTGTGTTCCCATTGCTCAAATCGCAGTGCTGCTTGCAAAGGCGGATGACTGACGTCGGGCACCTAAATCGAGACATGCAATCTGACCTCCCAGAGCGGACAATGCCAAAACTTGTTATCCGGACAGGCCGGGTGGATCTGCCATTGAAGAGGTTGGACCCTGGTCGTGTTTAAGTTGCACTTAAAGACTCCTCTTTTCGGAGGGGCTATTGTTTTCTCTCTTTCGTACCATACCCCATATGCTGCGGTCCGAATAAACCACTAGTCCTTGCAGTCACACTCTCTGGAGCTGCAGGCCGCGCAAATCACTCGCCATGGAGGATCTCCGTCGCATCTATCTCTTCGGAGATCAGACAATCAGCTGTGACGAAGGCCTCCGCAACCTATTGCAGGCGAAGAACCATACTATCGTCGCCTCGTTCATCGAAAGATGCTTCCATGCACTGCGTCAGGAAATCGCCAGGCTGCCGCCTTCTCAGCGCACACTCTTCCCGCGGTTCACCAGCATCGCCGACTTGCTTGCTCGGCACCGTGAGTCAGGGACGAACCCTGCGCTGGGTAGTGCGTTGACCTGTATTTATCAACTGGGATGTTTCATCGAGTAAGTGGCCTTTCAAAAAAGATCCCAAATCATGGCTGATCGCAGTCAGTTACCACGGCGATCGTGGACATCCATATCCTTCCTCGGATGACGCCCTTCTGTTGGGTTCGTGTACGGGTCTGTTGAGTTGCGCCGCAGTTAGCTCGTGTAAGAATGTCGGGGAATTACTGCCACTCGCAGTCGAGGTTGTCGCATTGACTATCCACCTCGGGCTTTGTGTCATGAGAGTCCGAGGGATGGTGGACTCAACGGAGTCATCCTCCGGCAGCTGGTCGATCCTCATCTCAGAGATTAATGAGGCGGATGCCGCCAACTTGATTAGCAATTTTGTCAAGAAGCGAGTAAGTACAGTGTACGACCATTGGAAGAAAATACTGACATACCAGGGAATTACCCCCTCGTCACAGCCATACATCAGCGCAGTTGGATCGAAAGGTCTCACCATCAGCGCACCACCAGACATTCTCGATAAATTCATCGAACAAGCTCTTCCGAAGGAGTACAAACACTTCAAGGCTCCTGGAGTCTGCGGCCCGTACCACGCACCACATCTGTACAATGACCGAGAGATTCGCGATATCCTCAGCTTCTGCTCCGAGGACTTGACTTCACGCTATGCGCCGCGGGTTTCATTGGTCTCAAGTAACACTGGCAAGCTGGTCCAGGCAAAGAGCATGCGTGATCTGTTGAATGTGGCTCTGGAGGAAATCCTTTTGCGCAGGATTTGTTGGGACAAAGTCACAGAGTCATGCCTGTCCATCGTTCAGGCTACCAACGACAAGCCCTGGAGGATTCTCCCTATCGCCAGCAACGCCACGCAAGGCTTGGTTACTGCACTCCAGCGTATGGGAAACTGCCAAGTCGAGGTAGACACCGGCGTCGGCGCTCCTCAAATGGACCCGGCCGCTCTTAATGCTACGGGCAATGCCTCACGGTCCAAAATCGCCATTATCGGAATGTCGGGACGTTTTCCCGAGGCAGATGGTGTCGAAGCCTTTTGGGACTTGTTGTACAAAGGTCTGGATGTTCACAAAAAGGTCCCGCCGGAGCGATGGGATGTCGACGCCCACGTAGACATCACTGGCAAAAAGAGAAACACCAGTAAAGTCCCGTATGGTTGCTGGATCAACGAGCCCGGTCTGTTCGATGCCCGTTTCTTCAATATGTCTCCCCGAGAGGCCCTTCAGGCAGACCCTGCACAGCGACTAGCTCTGTTGTCGGCTTATGAGGCTCTGGAAATGGCTGGCTTTGTTCCGAACAGCAGCCCATCCACTCAGAGAGACCGCGTTGGCATCTTCATGGGTATGACCAGTGATGACTATCGTGAGATCAACAGCGGTCAGGATATCGACACTTACTTCATTCCCGGCGGTAACCGAGCATTCACGCCCGGCCGAATCAACTACTACTTCAAGTTCAGTGGCCCCAGTGTAAGCGTTGATACCGCGTGCTCATCCAGTCTTGCTGCCATCCATTTGGCCTGCAACGCCATCTGGAGGAATGACTGTGACACCGCCATCAGTGGCGGAGTGAATCTCCTCACCAACCCCGATAACCATGCCGGTCTGGACCGCGGCCACTTCTTGTCTCGGACAGGAAACTGCAACACCTTCGATGATGGCGCGGATGGCTACTGCCGGGCTGACGGGGTGGGCACTATCGTCCTGAAGCGTCTGGAGGATGCCGAGGCTGACAACGATCCCATTCTGGGAATCATCAATGCGGCCTACACCAACCACTCGGCCGAAGCCGTCTCCATAACCCGTCCCCATGTGGGCGCACAGGCGTTCATCTTCAACAAGCTCCTCAATGAGACCAACACAAACCCACACGAGGTCGGCTACGTGGAAATGCACGGAACTGGCACTCAGGCAGGAGACGCCGTCGAGATGCAATCCGTCCTTGACGTCTTTGCACCAGACTACCGCCGCGGCCCGGCCAATTCCCTTTACCTTGGTTCGGCCAAGTCGAACATCGGGCACGGAGAATCCGCTTCCGGAGTGACATCCTTGGTCAAGGTGCTGTTGATGTTGAAGCAGAACATGATCCCGCCGCACTGCGGAATCAAAACAAAGATTAACCACAACTTCCCCACGGACCTGGCCCAGCGCAATGTCCATATTGCCTTCAAGCCAACCCCCTGGAACAGACCAGTATCGGGCAAGCGGAAGATGTTCATCAACAACTTCTCTGCTGCGGGCGGCAACACCGCTCTCCTGATGGAAGATGCTCCCCTGCGTGAGATCACAGGGCAGGATCCACGGAGTGTGCATGTGGTGTCTGTGACGGCACGGTCCCAGAGTGCACTGAAGCGCAACATCAACTCCTTGATCAAGTACATCAACACGCATGCGCCCTCGTCTCCGGCAAATGAACGACGGTTCCTTGCAAGTCTAGCTTATACCACTACTGCGCGTCGTATGCATCACCCATTCAGGGTCACCGCTGTAGGATCGAGTGTGAAGGATATCCGTGACGCCCTGCGTCAACGCGCCGATCAAGATGTCACCACTCCCGTCCCCGCAACAGCCCCCAAGACTGGGTTCGTCTTCACCGGCCAGGGAG